TACAGCTGTAATTAGCAAGAAAAAGAAAAGAGAGAAGTAACATGTTTAGAGCAACAGGGCTGCTCCAGGAGCGCCCTTGCTGCATTAAATCCAAACACACCTATTCTTCTCCAGGATTAATTTCTAGGGGAAAAAAAACAATTTCTGCATGTTTGAAGCAAAAACTGCTTTTGCATGATTCTTATTGCCTGGGTGCTGTGATGTCATCCTCCCCTCCTCATCCCTCTCACCAGAGAAGCTTTACACTTTTAAGTTAAAAAAAAAAAAGACAAGAAAAACATAAGCATTCATTTGCTACTTTAAAGCTGCAGACAATCTCAAACATGAGAGAGTCTTTTCTGTTACAAAGCCAGTAGATGACATATCTGAGATCTTATTTAATCTTCAAACTGCTTTTACTTGGAGACAAATTCAAGAGAAAAACGTCTATTCCGGTAAGAATGTTTACATCTGGACCTGCCTTCTCAGCAAGTTATGAACAGATTATGTGGCACACAAAACTTTATCTTCCCTTTCTATCCTCCCTTTCTTTAATTTTGCCTTGGTGGGCTTGGTATTATCTTTCTACTTATTTCTCTGAAAAGAAACACTGGATCTTCTATAATTACATAAAGAATAAAGATATTTAACAACTGGGATGTAATTAGAAATTAGAAAAAAGAACTTGGTAATTTTGAACCACATAATAAGCATGCCCTCTAATTTTAGTTACAATCCCTTCTTTTAGTTATGCTTTATTTATTGCTATTTTTATAAATTACTGACATTATACTGACATATGCACCGCAGTTGTCTTAACGTACTATATATGATTTTGCCACCCAATATTGAGCATTTTTCAGCAATCCTACTGCTTGTCAGCCTCATCTCTCTCAATTTTCTTCTGTAAATATAATCTGCTCGGTTCTAATGCAACTACCAGTCTTATATCCAACTCTGTGGGGTGTTCCATCAGACTGCCAGCTCTGATAAATGGTTTCATTCATTTGTAAAATCTCACATGAAGTTCTCATTGCAGGGACACTAACATAATGCTCTTAATATCAAGTGTGGGGCCAAAATGTGCAGGAACTCACTGGCACAAAGTTGGCATTGATATAATCAGAATGAGGTTGTCCATCCAGCAGGGTCAGCTTCACTCGAGAATAATCATCTGTAATAAAAACAGAGTTAGGAATTGTTTTAGAAGAGCTACACAATATATAACATAGATAGCTGCAGTAATAGCAGGTAACATAGTTCCTTTCAGGTTTATATGCATGATTGTAAATCTACTGTATAAGAACCAACATAGTAACATTGTTAAAACACTGGACTAAAATCAGGAGTACCTGGGTTAAAAATCTGGAAGTACACATACATATATACATACATACGAGTTATATTCTTTCCTCCAGGAGCTTAAAGCAATATACAAAGCACTCTCTTCCAATATTTCCACAGCAACAACCCTGTGAGGTGGGTTGGCTAAGAGACAGTGACTGGCTCAAAGTCATCCAGGAAGCCTCCATGGCTGGACTTGAACCTGGGTGTTTTCAGTCCTAGTCCAACACCTTAACCATTGACTAATCTATTGTCTGCTGTATGATTATGTGCCTCTTTAAAAAAAAATCAGGTTTTCATTGAACAGCAGCATCAAAATACTACATGAAACCAGATCATGTTTAGCCTTAGTTAAAGGCTAAAGAAAAACCAAAATAAAGATGGGCTCTTGTGTCACAAAAGAAGTTGTGGTAACCCAAAATATATATGCCTATTTATCTGGAAGCACATTGGAGATTTCTCTGAAACAGGTATGTATATAATTGCAAGACAAAAAGTAAAGAAAATCTAGTAATGCAGGAAAAGAAAGTATGAGAAATTGTCTACAGAATAAGAACACAAAAACATAAGCAGTGCCCTGCTGGATTGGAGCCTTGGCCTATCTGGTCCAGCAGTCTGTTCTCAGAGTGGCCAACCAACTGCACGAGGAAACCCACTAGTCTCCCAGCAGACGGACATCAAGGCTAATAGCCATTGATCCCTATGACTTCCAAGAACTGGTCCAACCCTTTTTTGAAGCCAGTCAAGGTGGGAGCCAGCACCACATCTCATTATAGTGAATTCCGAAGTCCAATAATAATTTTAAAAGGTATTCCAATGTCAATTCCAAATAGACAAATTATTGAGGAAATTTATATGGGAAAATAGGCCACCAAGGTAAATCAAGATTAAAATCACCATCATCAAAAGATAGTCTTGATTTACCAGATTTTCAAAAATATCACTGGGCTTTCAATTTATTGGCCATATTTATGTGGAATAAAAATTTAGTAGACTATCAACCTTTGTGAAGTTTATTGGGAAATTATTCCTTATTTTACCTAAGATCTTGGTAATTACTTGGCTTGATACAATATTAAAAAGCACCTCTTACTTCCATGACTGAGTAGCAGCTAGACATGTATGGGCCCTTTGGGGTTGAAGTTTGGATTTTGATGTGGATACTCATAAATATTTAACTTCATGGAAGATTTCAACCTTAAAAATAGGTGGCAATATAGAAAGTATGGGTGGTTTTGGAATAGTTATTTTGAATCGATTACTCTGTAATGATTATTTCAAGGATTTTTCTCAACTTCAGATAGAGTTTCACTTTCCTAATTCACAGCAGTGGCAACATGTTTGTCCTGATAGCCCAACATCGACCAATGCTTTAGCTGTTTCAAAGATGTTTTCTCTTCTGATGGACTCTATTTCTGAAACCAAACCTACATATATTTGTATCAAAAATTAAAGACTATTTTCACACTTGAAACAACTGACATTTATAATATCATGGAATAAAGAATTAGAATGTTCAATAATGGAACACTAATGGTTGCAAGTTTTAAAAAGTGTTGAATTGCTCTCGTTGGATTTAAGATGGAAATTGATTAATGAAAAGATTATGTTTCAAGTTTAGTGGACAGCTCAAAGAATATTTGAAAGGATGGGTGTCAAATTTTCTCTGTTGGAGATGTACAACATTTCAGTGGTTATATGAGTTACTGTCTTTTTGGGGGGGGGAAACAATATTTTAATATATATAAGTAAATGTATGGGGAAAGGATGTTAATATTATGTTAAATGTTCCAAAAATCTGGAATTTGTTTTTGAAAAACTTTGGTTATATTAAGTATGGGAAACTGCTAAGAAAATTATTTTGAGAAAGTGGAAATGCATTATTATTATAGATATTAAAGATTGGATTCACATGTCTAATCTATCCATTTTAAAAAAGGCAATTTTTTCTACTAACCAAAAATGGATGCAATATATTTCCTTTTGGCAAAGAATATATGATATTGTACAATAGAGGTTTTTTTCTTTTTAATTTGAAATTTTCTTATATTATTTAACATTTAATGTGTAGGTGATATGCTCAGATTTTTCATAATCTTTTTTTAAATATTCCTTGTTTTGTGTGTTATGATGTTCTTTTGTTACCTTTGTTTAGAGTTTGTTTAGGTTTTTTATAGTTAGCTGGGTTTCTTTTTTATTTTTGTGTATTTTTAAAAACTTGTAATAAAATAAAAACAAATCTTAAAAGTATGATTCTGTCAGTGTCTTACATGGTAGAACATGAGGGTATCGATTCTTGATGGTATTGGCTGGAACTTCAGCTTCTGTCTTGGGCTGTTCCTTTCCAACTTCCTTCAGCTCCTGTAGGATGCAAAAATAAAATCCTTCTTAGTATAGTCACTGATTCTCAGGATCCTTCCCCCAGGTTGTTTTGAGCCAAACTTCAATCCGAAAAGAGCATCCTTCAGATATCTTCAATTACAACTCCCGTAAGCTAGCACAGCCAATATCCATGCTTCTTGGAGATAATGGGAACTATATTCCAAGAGATCTAAAGATGTGGAATGAGTTGAGAAAGGCAGTTACAGTATTAAGATATATTTGAAACAAATATTTCCAACAGTACTGAAGCTGATCAACTGTAAAGCTAAAGGATCAAATGCAAGAAGAAGCTGCATTCAAACTTTTCCACAACCTCTGCTAAATGTTTAAAAATGTATGTTCTAGAGCAGGAAAAGGAGTTTAAATTTAAGGACTCTCTGCTATTTGATATTGTATCAAAGAACATTTTCCTCACAATTTTTACCATCTACAGAGAAGTAATTTACTCATTTAGGACAAAACATGCTTGTGGTTTTTTTTTTTCTACTTGTTCCTGAAAGAATATTCTTGGTGAGCTGGTCTGTAAGAATTTAAGATTCCAGCAGAGACCAGCAAGTGTCCACCCTCCATAGTTCATATCTTGTAAACCTCAAACTGTCTGCTAAAATTATTTAAATAAGTTACTCTTCTGAAGTCAACAATACAATAACTGTATTACAGTCATTCATCCTTGTATACTGATTATAACAGAGAATATATTAATGGTTACGGGCTCCATGAAATACAGCTTCTTTTTGTGCTGCACTTAATAGATTGTGGCAGAGTCAGCAGTTACTGTACAGTCAAAGAAAGAACATTCCTTCTAGATTAAATTACCAGCTACGAGTAGCAAGAAGAAAGGAGACAGGGTACATAGATCAGTATGTGCAGTGGTGGAGAGTGCCATAAATTTTTCCTTATCTGGCTTGGCTGTGGTGGATCAGCCTTCTCCAACCTACTACCTTTAGATATGTTGGAACTTCAGTTCCTAGAATTCCTTGCTTGTAAGGCCAACAGGCCAACTGGAGAGGTATTATTTTAGCCCATGATCTGATGTAATAACCATCTTTTAATGGACTTTCTAAAAGCCAATAGGGAAGAGTATTTGGATAAAAGTTAGTCCAGAGGGCATCATATTGAAAAAGATGCAGTGGATAATGCAACTTGGTTTTTAATCTCTCCCCACCCTTCCTCCATTCTAACCTTATACAGTATAGAAAGAATAATGCTGTGGTCTGATTGTGGCCATAGTTAGCCAGGATGGAATTTTAACTAGAATCATTACCTCAAAATCCTGAAAGAACCCATTATTTGAGTTTGCTGTCCTTGTCTCATAATATTGTCTAAAACTTTGCAGAGGGATTGGACGATGGGTATTCCTGCAAGGAATTAAAAAATGCCCAGAGAGCAATGAAACAGGAGAAGTGCTAAGCAGACATCTTAGATGTCACAATGCTGACATAACCAACATAAACAACATGTTTCTTTTAGTTAAGTCCTAAGCTAGCAATATACACTATGTGTTTTGCAATACAAGCAAAATCAACTGGATTTTGTCGCAATGCCACAGGAATTTAGATCTCTGGATGCTCATAGGTTGTTTTTACTGGGAATTTATTACAGCTACAGACTCCAATATCCAGCTGTACTTTTTATGATACTATGTCTGCCATTATCTCAAAGCTTTGGCTATGCTAGAAAAAGAGTGGATAGGTATTTATCAATATTGATTGCTTATCTCTGTTTTAAGGATATGGCTTAAGAATCCTCTTGCAGGACAAGATCCTGAAAGAAAAGCAAATGTTGTTTCTAACTTCCTGAGGCTACGGAGATAACTTTCCATAGCAAATCAAACCTATGAGATGAGCTCTGAGAATGTCACAATTGTTCTTTCACAAAAACATTGGCGTATCCAGATCATTATCTACCCTACCACATGTAATATCCAGTTTGAGTGAGTAGAGAGATGAATATTGCTTCACCTACCTCAGGCTATAGATGGCCATTTCTTGAGGAATATTACCCTTTTCTACCCTGAAATCAAAACATGGACATTGCTATTTTTTTGGTGAGGAGGTATTTTTTTCCAAGTGTGTATTCCCTTTCCCTTTCCCTTCTTCCCTTCTTCCCTTCTTCCCTTCTTCCCTCCTTCCCTCCTTCCCTCCTTCCCTCCTTCCCTCCTTCCCTCCTTCCC